TCGTAATGAAAAAATGTAAAATGCCTATAAATAGCTCAAAAGTAACAATGTGTTGAAAATATTACTAATTCGATAAAAAGCTGGCCTTAATACCCTGTGAAATTTTCATAGCTCTATGATTATTTTTAACCATATCTATTACGACAAAACTAGAAAATCGAAAAGAAAAGAATGAAACATATTTTAACTAATTTTCACGTTCTTCCAACGTTTTTTTCCCACGTTTTCATATGTTTTAGAAAAATTACAACAAATATAACATCCTAAATCTATCAACTAGATCTAATATACGAAATAAAAGGTATTTCTGGAAGAAAAGTTGTTCTTAGATAGACAAGAAATATAAAAACAGACACAATAGTGAAACCAATAGGTATTATAGGTAATTCTTCGTTTCGTTCAAAATCTAAATAAATTAAAGTTAATAGATACTGTTTTATTAAGTAAATATTCTTATTTTTCAGATTTTTCCCATTACTAAGAAATACACAAAGAAAAAATTACGTCTCTAATATATTAATTAGAAGAAAAATATATGATTGGGGCAATATTTTTGATCAAAAAGTGGCTTAATTCAAGACAAACAAAAAGCACACTGCATAGTAAACCTAATACATTCCATATTCTTTGTTTTGACTTATGATAACATAACATAATGTATAACGTAAATACATAATGTTATTTGAAATATTTTTTTAAGTATCTACCTACTACAGTAATACCTATAGTAACGATAAGATTTATAATCTTATAAGTACAAGAAAAATTATATTTAAAAATGATTTTGCAACAAAATAATTCATTATTAGCTCCGTGCATCAAATGTAAAATGGATAACTTTAAAAATATAGTGGACACATGAGGATAGAGGAATATGAAAAATAACGAAAGAACTTATACAGTTATAACTTATGAATGCGTATTGTTGTAATATTGTTGAAATAGTGGACAAATTCCTTGATTAATTAAATTATTCAAATTATTTGAGTGCCTATCTGAAATATTCAACTAAAACAAAAGTTTCAAGTGTTAGATTATTTTGTATATAGATAATTTACAATTGAGACTTTTTTTTTTATTAATTATTTGATTTGTTGTATAATATTGTTCTGTATTTGTATTTAACAAAAAGAAAACAAATACAAGGGCTGAATGAGAACGTGATACATATTATTTTTTGGAGTGTTCATTACTCATGGCTCATGGTTTTACATCGTTTCAGATATAGAAAATGATTTTTAAATTTTGTATACAAATTCTTACACCGAGTAGTGGACATTAAGTTTATAAGTTTAAAAATAATGTTTATTATACTTACGATTTACGAATACGGGTTTCAAATACAATTACAATACCTATATTATGTATCCACACAAAATGATTTGAAGATTTATTTCAATAAAATTATATGACTTATGACGAGATACAATTACATTTGCAATTAATAGAACAATAAAAATTGCTATAATGATTAATGAATATTAATTATTAATAAAATAATATTAATTAAATATTAATATTATTAATATTTATTAGCATAATGGAAGTGAATGGCAGAACTGCATATGCTTAAGCGTATTGTCCAAGTGTTAGTGTAAGTGTAAGGTTAGGTTAAATTTCTTATTATAAACAATAATAACATCGTAATGAAATGGTACCTACGTCGTACAACTTGTAAATAGCTTATGTTTAGACTCAGTGGCGCACACAGAGGGAAGAGAGGGACTCAAAACCCCCGAAATTTCTTCCTTCACTAAATGTTTTTTAATTAAGTTAAACATTCAACGACATATTATATTAAACCACAGAATAAAACAAAATTTAATTTCAATAAAAATCATTTATTCAGTAATAATAGTGATAGTACTGTACTGATAATACGTATTATAAGGTTCTTAAAGACATCTTGATTTGACCTTCACGTATAAAATATTTTCTAAAAAAAAATGTTATGTAATTGCTTTTCTATATACATTTTTTAATAGTTGAGAAAAAAGTAGGAACTCGGAAAAAATTAACGCAATAACGGTTTCTACTATTTTAGATTCTGAGTTAAGCGAAGAATGTATTGGTTTTACAATGGTGTTAATGTAAATGTTATAGTAAATGGGAAAAAACATGAAAAAACGGGAAAATTTACGAAATGTATTATTCAAATCGTAAATATTACGGTCTTTCAAAACATGTGTAACCGTACTCTGCTCATAATTGTTTTTCGTTAGTAATAATTAATCGTTGAGTACAGATTTTTATTAAATTTCCCGTGTACCTTTCTAACTTATCTTAACGGTGGCGCACCCATCGTGTAATTTCCAATTTTCCAATTATTATGAAAACGTCTTGGAAAATCAAAAAAGGAGTTCCTTAGTACACCAATTAGGTCCAAAATGTTACAATAAGGATTTTATGTATTTTTTTGAAATTGACACGAATTATGTATACATCATTGTAAAACCAATTCTTCACTAAATCAGAATCTAAACAATTTGCATTTTAAGACATAGTAGAAAAGATTTGCAACTGAGATATAATGTTGATATCCAATAAAATAGCAAAATTAAACAAAAAAAATGCTTTAATTCTTTAAATCTATCCTTACAATTGCTTTGAAATTATTAAAAATATATTAACTAATTATCTGAAAACATTAATTTGTTATTATTGTTCAAAAATATGATTTAAGCTTTTTTAAAATTTGTATTAAACAAATTAATTGTGTGATTACATTCAAATTTATAAATTTAATTCAGTTTTAAATTGTATAAGAAATTATATGATTATACTTCATTAGGTATAATAATAAATATTTAAAAAGACGGACATACTTTGCACGTGGTTGGGCCACTGTTGTAGGTGAGAAGTTTGGAAAGTAGAGGGGAAATTAAATGGATATCTGTACCTACGCAACAATTAACCATTGCTAACGAAAAACGATTCTGAGCGGATTTCGGTTAATATTGTTGTGTTGTCAACTATATGTGTGTTACATTGTATGAAAATAATTGTATATGGATTATATAGTTTTTTTTAATAATATTTGTTTAATATTGTGGCTATTTCCCCGTTCATACCCGTTTTTTACCATGTTTTTCCCATTTATTAGGAAACTTCTGGGAAAATCACAAATGATCTCGAATATATCATTATCAATGACCCCAGTTGGGGTGGTACTTTACGTAAAATAGGCATATAGTTAATATTTTAAAGAAATTGTCAAAGATACAAAATACAATTTATATATTCTAAATTTATGAAGTATTAAACAAGTTTTTAGCCAAGGTTGTATAATGGAGAAAAAAATCCAAGTCATCAACATCCTAGTGCATCTTTATACCTACCTAATTTTCTCTGATAAATATATTATATTTTAGATTCTGAATGAAGTGAAAAAGCTTATTGTTAAACACAGATGTTCATTTTTATTTTTTTATTTATCTGTGAAGAACTTTTCTACCAGCAATTTTGCTCTAATTCACAATGAAAGCACATTTTTAAAAATAAATCTGACTGGGGTGGAACTTAAAATAGGTCATTTTTTGATTTTCTCAGGAGTTTTCTCAATAGATGTTAAAAACAGAAGCAAGGGTTAATTGCTGCTAACAGATATATGTTAAATTACCTTTAACAGTGACGGCTTCCGTCCCCATTATCCTAGAACGTCTTTTTAATAATTTAGTTAATATACTAGGATAGGTAAGCCAAATCTATGGATAGTTTTGAATTTTAGACATACAGAGGTGGCCAAAAGTCGTGCAATAAATTTGTAACACAGTTTTTATAAAACTGTTGTGTTTTATGTTAAATATGTTGTTTTTTTATAAACCTTGCCGTTGTTGTACGTAAATAAGATAACGAGACCAAAGTTGCAATATAACGTAACGGAAACGACGTGGAGGGAGAAACTGCGCCGTAACGCGCGTTCCATACAAGACGGTAGGCGTTGCATGACTTTTGGCCACCTCTTATATATATGTATATACAGGCAGTGATACCGCTTTCCTAAAACATCGAATACGTTTTGAATGTCTTTATACTGTCTAATTAACTTCAGACTTCAAACATAAAAATTTAATTTTTTTTTTTTATTTCTGGTTTCCTTTGGTTATACAGCTTATAACAACTTTTGTCACATTGCTAAAAGGTGAACTACTATTGTCAGTGGGTAGTTGGGAAGATGTGGAATATACAGAGTAATTAAGTTTTAATATTGTACCTAAGTATTACCTAAGTAATGATAAATTATTACAAATAAAAAAACAATTCTAGTCTGAGTCAATTTTCGAGTTTTTCACTTGTAGCCAAGGTCACTAAAAATGAAAAAAAAAAAAAAACTTAGGGGATGAACTATTAATATATCAATAAATGTTTCAATTATTTATCATTGGGCAAAAATTAAATATTTTCTATGGTAATATCAATAAGTGAAAAAAATTGAAATATTTACCTAACTAAAAAAATGATTTGTATAACATAAAAGTTGAAAGCTTTGAAATAAGCATTAAAATTTTTTTTTAATATAAAGTACTATTTGTCAAAAAATCTGTATCTTTTAATATATGATGTTGAAAAATTGGATCATTTTTAGTAACCGAAAAAATGTTTTACTAAGAAAAAAATTACATATTAGTTGAACTGATAGTTTTTTTAATGCACTCAAAATCTAATTTAAATGTGTTCAAAATGTAGGTAAATATTGTATCACTCTTATTAAGGTGTTATAATTTCGACAGTGTTGACATCACTCATCATGTATTTAAATACAAATACGCGATTTAAAATTTGAATTATTTACCAAAAATTCAATTCAACCATTTGATATCAAGATACTTGGAATTCTTTCAGATTTCTTACAAAAATGTTCTTTATCTTCAAAACTCTCAATGATAAATAACTACTTAATAGGTGCAATCACACTCATAAAACATTTTTATCTTTACAACAATTTAGTATAAACAAACAAGTTATACTTCAATTTGGGTACATATAAGTCCAAAGTCTGCCCTAAATGCAATTCATTCTAGTTGAGGAAACTGACCGCAGTAGTACTGATTGTTGATTATATATTTTTAGTAAAAATCATGGCTAGATTTATAATTTTGCTTTTTGTAATCATTTTCAGTGTTTACTTAACAGAACAAGCATACTTTTTACAAGAAGAATACATCGAAAATATTAATAATGTTGTATCAACATGGAAAGTAAGTTGTAGTAATAGTACCTAGGTAAATCAAGTAATACATTTACTTTTTAACAATAATTGTCAATTATATTTAATCTCAATTAATACCTACTGCATGGGTAGGCAGTTAATTACAATACCTACTAAATTAATTATATCAAGCAGAATAACAAATGTGTATGTATTGTATACATATTACATATTTTAATGTTTTGGCACCCTAAACAAATAAATTGAATTATTTACCTATACTAATTTATTTATATATGAATGCCGAATACCGTGCTGGCCCTTAATTGATGCTCTACTACTCTCTGCCTTCTCAAACTTAAGTGAAATATATCATCAATCCGTTGATAAAACTTAAACCTTTTAACACTAAAATGGATTTGAATTTAAACTAATACTCCATCTATTTATGAAATATGTAATATAGATTAATAATAGTTGACAATCAAAAATAGGTTGTCGTTTCTTTCCAAAATATAAAGACAATATAACGTTTCAAAATATAATATGGTTCCAAAAAGATTTTACATAAGTAATTTAATGGAAAATTCATTGTGAAATTTGAATGAAAGTTTTTTTACATTTATAATTTTAATTTTAATCTACTCGTATATTTGCTATATAAGGTATGAATGTAGGTGTATAAACTACACGCTAATAATATTTGGTTCTCTACTTTGAATTAAACTGATTGAATAAGTGTGAATTATATAATTAAAAATCTCTTTGACAGTATTTTTGTTGTATAGCTGCCTTTACTAATATTTTAATAATTTATAATTTAAATATGTATACATATTCTATAGGTACACCTATCTCATACCTAGAATATTATTAGGTATTTATGTAGTTCATAAATTATATTTAAGTAAGTAGTTAATAAAAATTATTTTTGAATTATAATATTATTATATTACATTATATTATTATGTATTTATTACTTATAAATTATTTATGCGAACTATAATCATTCTTTCAATCAAGTTTGATAAAGTTTGTCTTTAATAATCCTAAAAATTGATGTACCTATAATGTTAAATATTTAACATATAGGCCGGTGTGAATTTCGATCCGAATACATCAGAAGAACATCTTAAAAGACTGTTGGGATCAAAAGGTGTTGTACGAGATGTCTCCAAAATTAAAGGCCAACTTAAAACACATGACCACGCATACACGCCTAATATGATAATCCCAAAATATTTTGACTCGAGATTATTTTGGCGCCATTGTACAACTATAGGTGAAGTTCGTGATCAAGGAAATTGTGGGTCGTGTTGGGTGAGTACTGAGTTTATATTTTAATAATAGTAGAAGCACTTCCAAAACATATAATATTATTTATTTTATTGTAAAATGTATAGGCATTTGGTACTACTGGAGCGTTTTCCGACAGATTATGTATAGCGACCAACGGAGAATTTAATCAACTCATATCTGCCGAAGAATTAGCGTTCTGTTGTCATTTATGTGGTGACGGGTGTTATGGAGGTTGGCCGAACAGGGCTTGGACTTATTTCAAATACCACGGTGTAGTCACCGGAGGAAATTACAATACAACCGATGTAAATAACTTTTTGACATTTTAATTACTCTAAAACATTCAAAACATATCTCTGTCTACACATTTGTAGTGTTTATTAGGAATGTATAATAGTGTAAACAACATTTTATAGAAATCGAATAAAATTAAAAATAATTTTAATGAATAAATCGGCACATTTTTAAATTTAAAATACACGTTTTATAACTTGCTTATTTATTATATATTTTAGGGATGTCAGCCTTATGAAATACCACCATTCCACTCTAATGACGATGAGGGAACTTCGTACGTTAAAGAATCAAATGAACCGCGATGCTCCAAAACTTGTTACGGAGACCAATCGATTGATTTCAAGAGTGATCACAGGAAAAGTAATTAAATATTCGTACTAAGTTATAATAGTTAAAACGAATAATTTATTATTACGTTTATAATATTTTGTCTGTAATTATAGCTAGAGACGCATATAATCTGGCTTATGAAACTATTCAAAAAGACATAATAGTCTACGGACCGATTGAAGCATCGTTTGATGTATACGATGATTTTTTTAATTACAAAAGCGGTTAGTTTACTAATACAATATTAAGAGTAAAATGTCCATTTATAATATATATTTTAAGAATATTCTCTTTTCGACAGGAGTTTACATAAAGAGCGAAAACGCAACATATATAGGAGGACATGCAGTCAAATTGATCGGATGGGGTGTTGAGCATGGTGTAGATTACTGGCTATTGGTTAATTCATGGGGTTATAAATGGGGAAACAATGGACTCTTCAAAATTCGCAGAGGTACAAATGAATGCGGTATCGACGATTCTACTACCGGAGGTGTTCCTGTCGTCTAAAAACATCGAATTATTGTTTATTATATTTGTTTTGTCAATATAAATGTTGACAATTTTTAATGTAAAACAAATTATGTTTGTATTTAAGCAGTTGTATAAAATACTAGTTGTTAGAATGTATTTATATTCATTATGAATTAAACGTTCATTTACAAAAATTGTTATTATAAAATATAATATAATATACTTAATTGTGTATCTACAATTGCTTATTCTACATCATACACTTACAATAATATTTTAGGTACCTATTAATTAGTTTAAAACATTTTAATAGATTGGTAACTTAATACTTACTATTTTATTGATATTTACAAGATGTTGTTTTGCGTTAAATAGTGGAGAAGCACGAACAAAAGAAATAGATAGAAGTATGTGTTTAAAAATCACCCCCTCACCACACATAAACCATTTACCATATTTAAATAAACAGTTATGTAAGCATCTTATATACTAACTATAATTTTGTTTTGTTAAAGCTCAATTATTATTTGTTTTAAAATATCAATATATATACATATATATGTTTAGTTAGTTTGTTGTTAAAATATACTAACAATGTTTTACTTGCATTAAACCTACATTTATTGTAACATAACTTCAAAGAAATGCTTCATTTTAATACATTGCAACATTATAATATTTTATACGAAGAACACATTATTCTCCATTGCTATACATAATCTTTTCATAAAAATATTACATAGGTATATTTTATTATCATCATTTATATTGCTATAATAATAATGTTACCAGTTACCTTGTAACCACACGATGTATTTCACGTTCAATTCTGGTAGAAATACGATTGACGATAGGCTACCAATGTACTTACTAAATTCATTCAATTTCAATTCAACAGATTGAAAATTTAAAAAAAATTCCCCTTTCTTAGAACCTGCATTTTCGTGTCTTTTTGCAAGCCAAATATTTTAATTGACATCTATAGAGAAATTGTATGCTATAAATCATTGCTATAAACTCAACTTTTATTGTTGAACGTCCTCTTTGTAGATTTTTGAAAAATCTACAATCCTCCTATTAATTGAAAAAATTTGTAATCTTTTTTCTGTATACTTTAATAATTTACACACTATTCAAAAGGGCTAATTTTTATTGATACTAATAATTATAAATTAATAATAAATTATTATTATTAATAATAATTAAATAATTATAAAATAATGGTAATGTGAATAATAGTTTGTAATTTTGTAAAAAAAATGTCCAAATAATATTAATGTGAATGCTAATAACATTTTTATTTGGACAGTTTTTTAGATTTTGAGTGGAGTGTACCAGCTTATAATTTACAAAAATGATTATTTTTATTATTATTATTATTTTTTTTTTATATCTGCGTAAAATCTTTACCAGAAGACTTGCTCAGATTTCTACGTGTAGTTCCTTTTCTGAAAGTCGGAAGGTACTTTAAGGAGGTAATTTTTCGATTTCCGAAGAATTTTCCCATTAAATGTGAAAAACCAAATAAAACGAAAGAAAAACCAGAAAATGTACAAAATATATTTATATAATATTACGATGTTTGTTTTTCTGTGGATAACTTTTCTACCAGCAATTTTGTTCCAAGTTTTAATGCTAACAATTTTTCTAAAAGGAAATTTCACTGGGGAGATACGTTAAAGAGGTCGTTTATCGATTTTTCCCGGAGTTTTCTCAACAAATGTGAAAAACCGAAAAAACTAAGGAAAACGGAAAAAAGTAAGAAAACCGGGGAAATCGGTCCAACATTAAACAAATATTATTAAAGAAAATATATAGAGCCTTCTTATGGTATTATACTTACTATAATATGGCATATTAGGGTGATCCTTATTTTGTCAATGTCAACATTTATTCTGGGACATCCCCCTATCTTGTGCCGTACAATAAAACAATTATATCCTTAAAGTTTAAGGCCATTTGAATAATATTTACTGAAGGCGCACTGCGTTTGAGTATTTAATATTATAATATTATTTTAATATTTATACAATAATACAAAAAATGCATTAAATCAAAGAAAATATTGTACAATCGAACATAGTTTTTTTAGATGTGATTTTTTTAAATAAAATACCAAGAACTTCTTTTATTCTTAATTTCTTGCCTTTCTTACCATATACATGAGGAATTTTCAATTGAAGACGCTTTTTACGATTAAAATAAGACGAATTAATAAACGCTTAATTATTTCAGTTTTTCTTACATTTTTATGAAATAATTTTAACATTTATCAAAAAAAAAAATAAAAAAAATCTATACATAAATACTTCTAAGATATATTTTTAAATATTTTTGACAATGTGTCCTCGTTGCTATTGGTATATGTTTTTCTATGTTCTGAAACAACTGAGTAAATTGTTTTTGTTTTTCATCTTTTGATATTAAGTTGTTATATTCCTCTGTTAACTTAACTCTTTTTCAGCTGAATTATTATCAACATTTAAATTGTTTAATATATTAAATCCTTTGTTGTAGTTTTCATTATATTCCCAGAAAGATGGATCTTTATCAAAATTTTCCATTTTTATACTAAAACCATTAAAAAAATTAATTGATTCAGTAGTTATGACTTCCCAACTTCTCACCTACAGGCTACAACAGTGGCCCTACCCACCGTGCAAAATATTTTCTTTATTTTTTTAATCCGGAACTCTCAGAAAACTGTTGTTGAGAATAACGTAATGATGAATATAATGGTATTAATAGATCATCAAATTCACGTCTTATTGTAACGGATGGTTAATTTTAAGGACATTTTTTCAAACACCAAATACTGATACATCATCTAGTTGTTAGTAGGTATTTATAATTTATATGGCTAATTTATGTGGCTTTGATTTTGTTGAAAGTGGTTTTGATAACAATGTACTATTAAAAGAAAAATAATAATTGAAAATAATTTTACAAGAAGGAGGGATGGCACGAATCAGAAGTAGAATTGGACAATTGTTTAGGAATTAAGTAAATAGATGAGGAGTATGAAAAATGACGAGAGGAATATTTTTAATGAATTTATAACTTACAAATATAATATAAACATTAACCAGAGATTAAACAGTTATCAATGACATTCGTAACATATGATACGTATTTATATGTATAGAAAGATATTAGGTAATAAAATATTTTTAAAAAACAGGTACACCACCAGTAAAAGAGTCATCAACTCTACATTCATTAGTGCCTTTGCGAATTTTGAATAGTCCTCCATCTCCCCAATTACGGCCCCACGAGTTGACCATCAGCCAATATTCTGTATTATTATAGTCGATACCCCATCCGATTACTTTTACAGCATGTTTTCCTAAGTATGTAGCTTTTTCGGTCACTTCGTAAATACCTGCAATGATAAACGAATATTTAAAATTCATTGGTATAAGTATGTTCTATGGATTTGTGTTAATTCGTGTAAACCTTACCACTTTTGTAACTAACGAAATCGTCATAGACATCGAACGACGCTACAACTGGTCCATAATACTTAATGTCTTTTTGAATACTATTGTAATTCAAGTAATATGCGTCTCTAGCTACAGTAAAAAACATTTCAGTTGTGGATATATATTTTGAATGTCAACCGTTAACTATACTAGGTACTAAATGCGATAAATGATACTAAAATTTAATTATTAATTATACTTTTTCTATGATCACTGTTATAATTGATCGTTTTATTCCCGTAACACGATCTGGAGCATTTATGATTTTTTTCCTTCAGTTGATCGTAGCACGAACTTGGTCCACCTTGGAAGTTATCACAAGGAGGCACTCTGTACGGTTGACAACCCTATAAAATAATTGAATTTTGAACATAACGGTATTAGGATATCATTTAAATATTTATTTAAATAGTTTTAATAGAATAATAATTATTGTTATTATTTAATTACATCAGTAGTATTGTAGCTTCCACCAGTTACCACACCATGTCGTTTTAAATATGTCCATGCATTGATCGGATAACCTCCATGACATCCGAAACCGCATAAGTGACAACAGAATGTTAACTCTTCCGCAGATACGAGTTGATTAAACTGTCCATCAGTCGCTATACATAGTCGATCCGCAAACGCTCCGGTAACCGCATGCGCCTAAATTCATTTTTAGATTAATAATCGGTATTACTGTTTCTAATAATCATATGTTAATATTTATAATTTGAAAACGAATTTATATATTTATTCACCCACCCAAGAAGAACCACAGAAACCTTGGTTTTGAATAGTATTCATCATATCACAACGAGGCCATTGTTTTCTGGCGTCGAATTTTAGCGGGATTAGTTGGTTCCGACCATACACCGGGTCATTCGATTTGTATTGATTGATTGGTTTAAAAAACTTCTCGATTTCTTTGGTTCCAAACAGCTTCACAATAGATTCTTTCGGCAGTTTCGGATCGAAATTCATACCAGCCTATATAATATAGTAAATTAGGTTAAAGAATAATGATAGGTATAATAGTCATTGTTATGTACAATTTGTTTTGTATTATATTAAGAATATACAATTATTTTGTTTTTTTTATAATTACTAATTACTATATTTTTAATTAATTCCATTATTCGCACTATATTATAAATTATAATTACGTTATATTTTATACTTTTAAAAATATTTAAAAAAATAATGTTTTATAACTTACTAAAAAATCTATAAAGTACATTAAATTAATATGAATCATATTTCTTCATAGTTTTATTAAAATAAGTTGATTAAATTAGTTCATGTTTAGAACTTAAAGTATTTAATACACTATTTAATGGATTATCTCTTGTCAGTGAGGTCAATGATAGTGGTATTTTAGTTATTAGGTGTAATTTAATTTACAGAACTAATATTTTTGTAAACGATTCTAAAAAATTGATTTCATTTTTTCATGTCAAAAATCGTTTTACATTAAAATATTCATTATATATAGTATACATATTTCTATACATATTAGACTACAACAAAATGAAATTACGTTAATTGTTGTACTTTTTAAATTTCAACAAAAATGGTAGGTATTTTTCAAAATATATTTTATAAAGTGATTACGATAACTGCAGTTTCGCTAAAATCCTACACAAATTTTGTATCATTTGATAATAATATAACTTTAACGAAAAAGTAAAACCTGTGGAATATAATTAATCATTGACATATATATATATATATATATTAATTATAAAACTAATTATTATTCATGTATTAATAATATTATTAATTAAAATAAATAGTTAATATTTATTGCTTACTTTCCATTTTGAAGCAACTTTATTAATTCGGTCAATATAATCTTGATTTAAAAACTCTACTTGTTCCGCAAGCTTAACGCCAGTCAAAATTACCACACAAAGCAAAATTATATCTCTAAACATTGTGTTGATTTTTAAAATGTACTAACTGTCAAAAAACATTCGCAGTTTACCATCCGACTAAAATTGAAAAACGGTAAGACTATTCGGACCTAAAGTATGTACCGTACCCATAATATATTGAAGTAGGTATTTATTTTAGTATAAAATTAGTGATCGTAATTGATTTTGTTATCGTGAAACATATCAAAAACGATTCATTTCTTTACATATAATGCAAGAATTTCGAGTGTTTTCCACTTACGAATATTATAACGTAAAATCGATTCATAGTATAAAATTATAATAACAGTAATAGCTGTGAGCTAGTATTGAGTAGTATGTTGTTGTAACAAAATAATTGGTCATGCACAGGCACATCTGATTTACGTTTAGGACAATAATTGTGATATAAAATTTAAAAGCTGGGCAACTTCACACGTGGGTGAATCACTGTTATAAGTGTGAAGTTGGGAAGGTAGTAGGGGGCAATTTAATATATATCTGTCAGCAACAATAAACCATTGCTAACGAAAATCGATTCTGAGTAGAGTTCAATTGATAGTATTGCTTTACCAACAATATATATGTCATATTATTGTAAAATAATAACATAAGCATTATATATTTTAAATAATAATAACTGTTTAATATCGTACCTATATTCCCATTTTTCCTACGTTTTTCACTGTTTTCCTATGTTTTTCCCATTTTTTGTGGAAAATTGAAAAATGACTTCCTTAAAATATCTTCTCAGTCTAATTTCCTTTCAGAAAAAATGCTACACTTGTAAATCGGAGCCAGATTTCTGGTAGGAATAAAGGTATCCACAGAAGAAAAAATAAAAATAAATATCTTTGTAAAACCATAAACTTCTTCGCACCACTCAGAATCTAATATTATACCTCTTAGATTCTTCAGATTAATTGGCGTATTGTATAATGTATAATAATTCGAATTCAGTTCTAGGTAGATATCACTGTATCTGCAGGAGTAAATTAGGAGCGAAGTTCTTATTATATTGAATTGTATTACTTCTATAAAATTATTGATTAATCATTCGAAAATCGAAGTTCAGTTTAAATATTTATAATCAAAAATAATTTAACTAATTAGATTAAAACCATTATTTCTTATTCTTTGCTATTTCAGAATATTTCGGTGTTCTGGATCTGAAAAGATTCTGAAATCTTGAATAAAATAACATTTAAAAATTGTTTATTTTTAAATAATTTTTTAAATTCAGAAAACAGGAAAATGTTATACGTCGTAATACTAATAATAAAATCGCCTACCAAAAATATAAGCATTTTCTTTAAAAATAATTTAATAACAAAAAAGTATTGAATTATTGGCGTACGTCTCACGAATCCCGAATTTGAAAATTGAAATTTTTTTCATTCAAATATTTAGTAGCTATGTAATTAGTATTAAAACTCTCAGAGTATTAAATATCAACAGAAGAAGAAGTAATTAGTATGTATTTGTTTGAGCTATCCCAGAATTTGTACCTACGTAATTTTTTATAAATCAATTTTTAAATGGGAAAGATTAGAGATACATCTCCCCAAGCCCCTCTCCCCATATGTGAAAATATACGTAAAATTGAAAATTGAACGAAGCCTATATTTAGTATGTAATTCGGTTTTAGTTTGAAAAATAAAAAATATATAATATGTTTTTTTTTCTTATCAGTATTTTTCCAAAATCAATTGGATATATGTTAAACCATTCAAATCAATAAACGCACAATATACCTGTATAATTCTTGCTATCCCAAAAGTTCACACCACTCACTAGACATTCTACTTTAGGTTTTTAAATATTTTCGGATATCATTAAATCACTAGGTTGTTATCGATTCACGAACAAATTATTAGTTGTAAAGTCGTCTAATGTTCAGTAATAATTATATTTTGTACTGTAAATATTTTAGATATTAAAAATCAGTAAATGGCTATATATTGAAAGGAACAAAATCGTTTTTTTTTGTCATTTTTGAATTGGAGCAATATTTCTGGTAGAAAACATCGTGTGAACATATAATAAAAATAATGAATACGGTAATGCGGCACGGCTAGTCGCTCCGTAAATATTTGCGTTTTACCAATAATTTTTTTTTGAGTTTTTCTCAATTATTTTGAAAACCCCTCGTAAAATTAAAAAGTGATCTATTCAATACACCAACGAGAAAAAATTACTTTCAAAAAAAGGTGCTATAGTCTATAACTGCGAAACAAGTTTTCTGGTAGAAAAGTTGTTCACAGGCAGAAAAAAAAAATACACGCACATCATAGTAAAACAAATATATCCTTCGATACGTTCCGAATCTAATAGTAGAGTGGGACTTACATTTATGTTATGCACAATCCAAATATGACATTTTTTTTTTTTTTTTTATAAATTTATTAAGGCTTCAATGACAGAGGTTTTTAGCCTGTATTTAGCGTTAACAAAGTATTAGGTAAAAATAAATACACACTAATAAATTAAATTTGACAATAGTGAGATAATGTAAGTATTGACATATTTTAAAAAGGTTATAATCTATAACTTAAGTTTATGATTTTTAAAAATGTGATGATTGCTGTGCTTTTGCGTTGAGTGCTTGGTAAAGTGTGAGAGGGTTGTTGAGGATCTTGCGGGCTTCAGTGTATTTGTGACAGTTAATAACAATGTGTTCTATTGTTTTTGTCTCATTGCATGTGTTACATATTGGTGCTGGTTCTTTTGTGATGAGGTGGGCGTGGGTTAAAAGAGAGTGACCTATTTTAATTCGGGTAATGTTTACTTCCTCTCTTCTCTTGATGTTGGGAGGATATTTTAGTTTTTGGACGAACAGTTTTATATTTCTAAGTTTTTTGGAGAGGTGGAGGTTTGACCAGAATTTCTGCCATTCTTCCATTGGTTTGTGTTGAATGATGTTGAAAGTTTCGGATAAGGTTAGAAGATTAATATTTGTGGAGAGAGGAGACATAATGGCTACGTAAGCCAACTTGTCTGCTTTTTCATTTCCGGGTAAGCCAACATGTGAGGGAACCCACATAAAACATATAGTGCTATTTATTTCAGATATAAGTTTATGTATAAGCTGAACAAGTTCGTTTTTAGGGTAGGGATTTGAGATGGACGAGAGGGCACTCAAAGAGTCACTGATGATGATGCAACTTTTTGAGTTTAACGATGGGATCATTTTTAGCGCTTCATAAATAGCATATGTTTCTGCAGTGTATATACTGGAGAAAGATGGTAGGTGGAAAAGATAGTTTTTCTGGTTTGTGATAACAGAGAAACCCACGCAATTTGTATTTTTGGAGGCGTCAGTATATAATTGTGTGTATTCCGGGAATTGTTGAGATGTTATTTCCAAGAAATGATTCCGTATAATTAATTTGTCTGTATTGTTTTTGCAGAATTCAGTCAGTTGGGTATTGATGATTGGTGACCAAGGAGGGAGAGAAGGACAGATTTTATTTAGTGTTTGTGTTTGAAAGGATAGATTTTTACTAATTGATTTAGAGTTTTCGAATATTGTGGTATAAGTGGGTAGTGGATTAGGGGGTAATGGATTGTGAAAGATATTATTGGTAATATTGTCGGACAAATTTTTAATTTTGGTTGAATATTTTAGAATATGGCTTTGGCGTCTAAGGTGTAGGGGAGCTTCTCCTGCGTAGAAAAGTATACTATCTACGGGACTTGTCCTGAAGGCTCGTATGGCTAGGCGTATGCCTTGGTTGTGGATGGGGTCCAGAATACTTCGGACTTTATCTTAGATCGAATTATAGATTATATCTCCGTAGTCAATTGATGAAAGTATTAGGGCTTTGTAGATTGAGGTAAGGCTTTTAGTGTCAGCTCCCCAGGTAAGTTAGTGGTCGAATGTGAGGCCAAGAAATATGACATTTTATGTTGCTATATTTTGCATATTTGAAGTATTTTAAATTTGTAGTGCTATTTTTCATGTTTGGGTGCTTTTATTGTTAATATGCATAATATGATGATTTATTTTACATTTTATGAAAAATAATTGAAAAAATTCGTCATTTATGTGAATCCATAAGAAAAATACCTACATTTTCGTTTCATATCACAATGTATTTTTTAGCAGTCTGGCATATTGCCCCATCAAACATTATTTATAACTATTATCTGCATATTGGTTGCATTTACATTTTTTCCCTAGAATACATAGGTACTGTCGTTTGTATTTCAGATTTTTCAAAAATTATTAACAGAAGAAAGAGTTAAAAAAATCCATATATTTTATTTCTTGCTATGTTGTATGTTTTCTCGACATATTAAAGCAATTTAAAGAATTTGTAAGACATATTTTAGCGCATATTTTAATTATTTTTAGTGCTATAAAATCTGCGCTCTGTTAATAATAATTACTTAATTATCTATTCGAAATGCATTAAAATATCTACTTTAATTTTCTTTCTAATCTATATTATTATTAAATCTATTATTTATTTTTGTACTTATTTTATGTAATTGAATCAATTAGTATAAATAGACAATGCAAATAAGTATTTATAACAATAATAACTTGTAATAGACTTTTGACGGAAGACTGCAAAGAATGCTAGTTAGGATTTCAGGATTGGTTATGCAAATACATAACAAATATTTAAATTTAAAAAAAAATGAAAATTTCAAAATGAGAGGGGGGTGGGGGGAGTTCGACGAGACTTCAATGAATTATATTTACGTATAATATGTTTCATTATTGTAATAATTCAAAAACGTATTAAATCGTATACCTAGTTTAAATAATTGTACACATTGAAATAAATGATAACATGTTGATTGAGTTTCGATAGTTTTCATTAGAAATATTTCAACATACTCATTCAAATATTCGATACATAATATAAGTACTAATTATAGTATTAATATTTACTTATCACGATTTTTGTTTTTTTTTGGTTATTGCTGATATAATATAAAATAACATAACAAATCAAACATTGCAAACAAATCGTTATTTATACATTATCTATATTTTTAAATTATTTCTAAACACTTGACAATTTTGTTTTAACAGATATTATACACGCGTACGACGTAAATACAACCAGCAAATAGGTACCTAATCTAATTTTTTAATATTTTATACGCAATATTATTTCAAACAATTATCATATTCGTTATTTGTATACCTTTTGAACATAAACTTTCGATGTGAACCATAATATATATAAAACATAATATCAATAATAATAATAGAATATGTTTAGCGTTTGCTTTGTACAATGGTTCATATTCTCCTTTGAAATCGCCACATAATATTTAGATTTTTCAAAATGCCTGATGTCATATTTACTATTCATTTAGAGCAATAAAAAAAATATATTATTTAAAAATATATATTTGTGTTTGTATTTCCAGTACAGGTGCCTATTGTAATAATATATTTACATAGAAGTGCATTTTAAAGTTGAACAACTTCGTTTCATATATTCCACAAAACACTATAGGTAAATATAATTGAAATACACATGTAAAAATATTGTAACAATTAAAAAATAAATATAATTGTATGACAGAGTTTATGCATCACTAATTCCGCAACATTTTTTTCTCACATGTATGGGGTATGGAGAAATGCACTTTGATATGTTTTACGTTATACTAAATTTGGATACAGATTATTGGCCGTTATATAAAAATGTATAAATATATATATATATATGTATACATTTTTTCTTTGGTTGTAATAATTATAGAATCTATATTAAAATTTCATGAAGTTGAGTTCATTGAGTTTTTCTCATTTTTTTCTAATTTTATCATTGTTTTCATTTTCAGTAGATAAAGTTGCAATGTTTACTTTTCTTTATGTTTACTTAAATTTTTATCAATTAAAATAAGTCTTTGATCCACCGACAATATAGTGCAACCGTACCTTATAATCCTAATACACTATGGTTATCTACCTACAATGCGATTAGATTAAAATATCATGAACTATTGAATTTTTTTTTATTTTTTCTAATTTCATCATTGTTTTAATTTTCAGTAGATAAAGCTGTCGATATGTGTACCTAATTCTATTCACTTAAAGTAGTTAGTTGACTATTTTTATACTATACTAGCAGGTCTTTTGAACTGGTTTAAATAAAGATCTCTAGATTATACTTTATAGGTAAAAAAGACTTAAGACTTGCGTTCGTTATTTAAGATATTTAAACATTAAACATAATTTAACAACGATAGAATATATTTTATTTTATATTAGAATAATACACTTGAACTGAGTAACCCTGATCTCGTAGGTTGGTCGTGATAACGAACGGTCTTCGTTTGCGCATAGCTATTGATAATTTTAAGTTTTTTTTTGTAAGATAGTTGCACATCGTCAGATTTTTGTGTTACACATCGTTTACGCATTGACCGGTTAAAAGGTCACACATCATTTACGTATCAATATTATTTAACAATAAAACTGAAAAATAGGTGTATATATTCAAAAGCTTAAGTTGTTTTTTCTAAGCTTAATGTTCACACATCTCTAAATTTATTATTCAATTTCCAAATATTGTATAGGTATTTCTGTTTTAGAAAAACTTACCATAATAGTAAAATATCAAAAGCTAGATAGTAGATTACTGGATAGTAAAACTCGTGAAACGCTGTTGAGACGTACGACATACGAGACTTAAACTATATACTGTAATTTGAACTTAATTAAAACTTACTTTAAATAATTAATTTAATAATGAGTTAATTCAAATTTGTTAATTCAAATCAAGGAAAATCTGCGGCCATTTTCGAAATATTTTTTTATACGGAAAGAAAAACTCTGAAAAATTGTACGGTTATATTTATATTTCAAAAAAAGATTACTTTGCTTTAATACAAATTTACGAACACCAGACTACGGTGTTTAAAATACTTGGACAACACACACATCTCTAATCGAAGATTGAAAAAATTAAGAATTATAAATGTTTATGAAAAATGAATACTAAACGTTAAAATGTGACGTTTTTGGAAATAACCGATTTAATTAAATAGACGAAATGTCAAAATAATCTAATTCATAATAAATTAAGTTTTTTTCATATTAAAAACAGTAAAAAGAAGCTGCCAAAGAAATATCAACAAGACTTAACAAAATTATACGGAAAGCAATATCTAAAGCAGACCATGTAACACTCAATGATTTTTCCAACTATAGACAACAAACATAGAAAACGAAGGAAGATTTTACCATTGTTACCGAAATCATATGAGGCACTATAATGTGCCTAATTTAAATTAATACAATTTATTGTTATTCAAATAATCAAATTTATAATAAATAAAATCTTAAATTTTTAACAACAGAATAATTATACACACATTTTGTAAATTTTCATGAATTTTGTCAAAATTTTAACTTTAAATGCTTATTTAACAAAAACTTGCGTCTATATGTTATTTTACACACTTGTATTGTTCGGTATATTGATGCGTATATGATGTACGATATTTTGGCAGAGTTAAACAGACGATGCGTTAATGCTTTACGGCCGTGCCAACAGTGTTACACCAGGTGAAGCGGAGTACGAGTGGTAATAAGTGATTGATATTAAACTATAATACCAATATTAAAGTTACACAAGCAACGATATTATTATAACGCGGTTATTGATGGGTCTCGACTTTTGCTCCAACTCGATTTATTATACACACTATACTGCGAATAATAAATGGATATTTACTTTATAACAATGTATTATTTGATTCAAATGTATAGGTCGTTTTAGTGGCAAAAGTGTTTTCAGATCGAATATATTATGTAGCGATTCAAGATAAATTCAATGAATTCAACTTTCTACCAGAAATTCCGCTCCAGTTATTGAATTATAACAAGATTTTTGAACAACGAGAAAAACACGGCATTTTCTCAGATAATTTCGAGTTTGGTTTTTGTGGTACATAATTCAGTGCAAAATAATTGTATAGCTTGTCTCTAAATTGTGAAAATTAGCCAGAACTCTCGGAAAATATACCCTCAGAATTTTTCCGTTTAATTATTTATTTCAGTTAGGTTAAGTTCTAAAGAATATTGTAGGTAATAAAATAATTATAAGTATTTATCCCTATTATTTATAATAGACAACATTTTGGTGTTTAGTATAGTGACGGAGAAATGCCATGGTAGTTGCGAGTAGTAAGGGGGGAAATAATTTGTGAGAAACA